AAACAGCAGCCATGGCTGCATGTTGCGTGATGCGTGCTGTAAGGAACCGACCAGCCGCTCTGCTGCTTCTTCGTGGACCAAACTAAAATGCTTCATCCTCTTTTCTTCTTTCTTTTTCTTTCTTTCTTTTTTTTGCCGTCCTTGACTCCACAATGCAGTCCCCATCTCTTAGCAACCTTCCCCACAATTTTTTTTTTTACATGGAGGTTAAGAACCTTAATGGAAGAAGAGAACTCTCAAGATAAAGGGTTTATGTAACATCCCAAAATTTCAAGTACTACAAAATATCAAAACTAGTATCCCAAGATCAAAACTTACATTGCAGCGGAAATAAAATTTCTAATCTTACAAATTGTATCACCATCTAAATCACAATCTTGAGGAGCATAACTTTGCTCTATATAACAATGCATTGATCTGCACATATCCTTCTTTGAAGTTAATCCTTATTTCTCTTTATTGCACTTTTCTTTCCACTCATAAGCCGCCTGGGTAAAAAAATTTAAAAGAGTTTTGGGTGAGCCTTAGGCCCAGTGAATCCACGGTTTTCATGCATGAACAACAACTTTTATGATAAACAATTTTCACGAAGCTTCATAAATAAGCATGCCTTGATGAGAATAACATTTTTCACAAAATAACGATATTATAGTGTGTGTCTACATCACAAAGCAACGACGTCATGGGAGATGTCTACCTCACACAACATTACCTGGCGAACTCACACAACATGTCCGCACTTACGGCTTAGACAAGCTCACAAAGCATGCTCATCTTTACAAAATCATACCGTAGTACATCCCCATTGACATACAAGTTCAAAACACATATTATAAAAATATATCACTTTTCACGCATATATAACGTATCAAAAATCTCGAGAAGCTTCAAACAACTTGTGGATAATAAGAAATAAGGCATGCAACCATTTTAAAAATAAATCACGTGTAACTCACAATACATGGCGTAGCCCAAACCGATCTTTAAAGTAGCTAGCGTCTCCCCGATTGGTGCCAAACTAACTACGATGTAGAGCACCGTCAACTTTCATTACAGCGTCCACCGTCACATTTTCTCACAATAGTTCTCCTTCTTAACCCCAAACTACACATAAAGCTACAAACTCC